TACTCAATAAGGAACATCCAACCAATTCTCAAAGCAAAAGACAATAGATGCAAACCATGAAAAGACCCAGATGTTGGAAATGTCAGACAAAGACTTCAAAGCAGCTATTATAACAGTACGCTGTGAGGGAAAGATGGATGCTTTAGAATGAATGTGAAAACAGACATTCTCAGCAGAGAAATAGAAACCATAAAAAAAGAGCCAAAAAACAGGCGGTGTTGGTCAAAAGGTACAAAGCCTCAGTAATACAAAACAAACACGTTCTGGAGATCTGTACAGCACAGGGCCTGTAGTTAGTATTGTATTGTATGTATACTTAAAAACTTGCTGGGTGTGATGAATTGGGAGATTGGGATTGACATATATACACCAATATGTATAAAATGGATAACTAATAAGAACCTGCTGTATAAAAAAATAAAATAAAATTCAAAAATTAAAAAAAATTTTACAGAATAAAAAATAAAACTTGCTGGGAGGGTAGATCTTATGTTAATTGCTCTCACCACACAAAGGAAATCAATTTTTTTTTTTTTTATTTTATTTATTTTTTTTTTTGCGGTACGTGGGTCTCTCACTGCTGTGGCCTCTCCCGTTGCGGAGCACAGGCTCCGGACGCGCAGGCTCAGCGGCCATGGCTCACGGGCCCCGCCGCTCCGCGGCATGTGGGATCCTCCCGGACCGGGGCGCGAACCCATGTCGCCTGCATCGGCAGGCAGACTCTCAACCGCTGCACCACCAGGGAAGCCTGGAAATCAATATTTTTAAAGACAGGGGCAGGAGGAAACTTTTGGAGGTCATGCATAAATTTATGGCCTTGATTATTGTGGTGAAATTTTCAGTAGTGTATACTTACCTTCAAATTCATCAAGTTGTATACATTAAATATCTGTAGCTTTTTCTATGTCAATTATACCTTAATAAAATGATTTTAAAAAGAATCACTGAATTATACTAAGAAAAAACAAAACAAAACAAAAATGACCAAATGACAATTTTAGAACTTAAGAAGCACAATATCTCAGATCTTAAAAATTCAGAGGATGGTCTCAATAGCAAAGGGAGATGACAAAGAAAAGACTCAGTAAACCTGAAGCTAGATCAATAGGAGTGAAGCAATCTAAAGAAGAGAGAGAGAAAATATTTTAAAAACTGAACAGAGACTTAGGGACATGTGGGAAAATATCAAAAGATTTAATATGCACGAAATTGGAGTCCCTTAAAGTTGCAGAAAAAGAATTTTTTAAAATGACGACTGAAATTTTCTCAAGTTTGGTGAAAAACTTAAATTTACAGATTCAAGAAACCCAGCAAACGCCAAACAGGATAAACTCAAAGACAACCCACACTCACACATCTCATAATCAAACTAAAAACCACCAATAAGGAAAAAACAATCTTGAAAGCAGCCAGGAAAAAAAAAAGAACCAAAAGCCAAAACCACTTTACATTTAGGGGGCCATGGAGGCCAGAAGAAAGTGGAACAGCATCTTTAAATTGCTGCAGGTTGGGACTTCCCTCGTGGCACAGTGGTTAAGAATCCGCCTGCCAATGCAGAGGACACAGGTTTGGGCCCTGGTCCGCGAAGATCCCACATGCCGCGGAGCAACTAAGCCCGTGCGCCACAACTACTGAGCCTGTGCTCTAGAGCTTGTGAGTCACAGCTACTGAGCCCACACACCTAGAGCCCATGCTCTGCAACAAGAGAATCCACTGCAATGAGAAGCCCATGCACCGCAACGAAGAGTAGCCCCCGCTCACTGCAACTAGAGAAAGCCCGCGTGCAGCAACGAAGACCCAACGCAGCCATAAATAAATAAATAAATAAATAAAAATACAGTGCTGCAAGGGACTTCCCCAGCAGTCCAGTGGTTAGGACTTTGTACTTCCACTGCAGGGGGCATGGGTTCAATCTCTGGTTGGGGAGCTAAGATCTCGCATGCCACGCAACACGGTCAACATAAATAAATAATAACAATAATAATAATAAAAATAAAGTCCTGCAAGAAAAGAACGGTCAACAACTCTACATCTAGCAAAAATATCCTTCAGGAATGAAAATAAAATAAAGACATTTTCAATGAAGGAAACTAAGAGAATTTATCATCTGTGGGCCTGCTCTAAAACAAAGTTAAAGGAAGTTCTTCAGGCTGAAGGGATATGACCCCAGAGATAAACTTGGGAGTTTAGGAATAAATAAAAAGCAACAAGAGGGTAAAAATATGAATAAGTATAATAGATTATATTTCTCCTGTCAAGTTCTTTAAAATATATATGACTTGAGAGCAAAAATCCTAACATTTTTTGGGGTATTTCAATGAATGTAGATGTAATACATATATGATAACTATTATAAAGGGGAAAAGGTAAAGGCACCTTTATGGTTTTAATGCATCTATCTTTTACTTGAGGTGTAAAGTATGAACACTAAATAGACTGTCAAACGTTAAGTATGTATATTGTAATCCCTAGAGAAACACAGAACCTACAGAAAATTAATACAAAGATATACAGCCAAAAAGCCAATAAGTAAATTAAAATGGAAGAGTAAGAATAACAAAATAATCCATTGCACAGCTAGATCCCACTTCATCCCAGTCTGGAAGCAGAGGGACCTGAGTGAACAGGCTTGATGGGTAGAGCATGCAGGAAAAGTGAGCCTGTGGGTTTTTATGTGTGTAATTTTGGACTGATTAGAGAGGGTACTTTCCACGGGGGTCAAGGAAAGCCTCTCTGAGGAGATGATATTGAGTTGAAATTGGGAGGACAACGGTGGGGTTTGGGGTGTCAATACTTAATACCCTCTTTCCTGCCCAAGTTCTGAAACAACTGAGTCAAATGAAGAGTCAGATATATTGAATCCAAATAACATTTTGTTACCATTCCAGTTACTCCAAACCACCTGAAAACTTAGTGTGTAAAACAGCTGTCTGATGTTAATGGATTCTGTTGGTTGGGAATTCAGAAAGGGCACAGCAGAGATGTTCCATAATGTCTAGGATCTTAGCCGGGAAGACTCGATGGCTGAGGCGGACTTGACGGCTAGGGGCTGGGATTGTCTGGAGACGTACACGGCTAGAAGCTGAGGTTGGGTGTAGGCTGGCACCTCAGCTGGGCTGCAGCCAGAGCACCTAAATATGACACGGGCTAGTTTGGCTTCCTCACGGCATGGTGGCTGGGTTATAAGAGAGAGCATCCCAAGAGAGTCCATGGCATTTTATGATCCAGCTTTGGAAGTCACACAGCATCACTTTGACCATGTCCTATGATTAAAGCTGTCACAAAGGTGCACTCAAGTTCAAGGAATGGGGACATAGATGCCACCACCTGATGACAGGAGTGTCAAGGTCACATTGTAAAGAGAACGTGTGGAATTGGAGATACTGTTAAGGCCACAATAACTGATAAACTTGTTTGTAGACCAGAGTTTAAGTCTGCGGGTGAGAAGTGAGGTGTGTTGCTCCAGTAAAGCCTTTCTCATGGAAACACGCCAGTGGGAATAAATGAGCCTTGTTCTTGAGAGAAGAGCATTTCAGCAGAGGGAGTAGTTGCAAAGGCCCTGCCATGGGCAAGAGTGGAGTATGTTCCAAGACCTGAAAGGCAGCATGGCTGGGGCATGGTGGGAGAGGAGAGGTTGATGGGGGAGTTGCATTTGCTGAGTTTGGCAGGAAGGACCTTAAATATCAGGCTAAGGAGTTTGCTGGGAGGCCAGTGGGTGCTAAGGAACTCTGAAGGATGCCATGAAGCTGTCCCCACAAGGGCCAGAGTCACATCAGGGGGCATTATCCCCATGCCCATGAGGCAGTTGGGTTTGAGAAGACAAGGCTTTGGGACTTGGCCAGGGTCCCTCACACCCTGCCCTGTGCACCCTCGTTTTGTCCTGTGGTGCAGAAGGCCCTGGGAGATCAGGAACAGAAGCAGCAGACCATTCCGTGTGGAGCCCCAGGGCGGGATCTGAAGGGACCAGTGCCTATCCCAGAGTTAATTTGACCCCCTGTGCCCCCAGGATCCCACGGCCACAGCCCTTCGCCAAGTTGGACTATTCTCTTGGTGGTCAGAGCAGAGCACTGGGCTGGACCTCAAGGCAATGCCCACACTGCCCATAGCTCCATCCATAGCTTAGCTGATACGTCACTGCTGTGGGCACCTCTAGGAGAAGCTCCGCTTAGACCATCGCATTCACCCTCCTGGTCCCCAAGCAGAGTTTGGGTGTGACTGGCATTATAGAAACGTGGAAAGGAGGCCATGCAGGCAGCCACGAAGAGGGGTTGAAACCAGCAGAGGATAGAGCTGGGACTAGAATCCTAGACGTGGGCCTCCCAAGCGCTCAGTTTCACGGCCCCTGATAACCAGGGGGTCCTTTGATGTCGTTTGTATACATCTGCCCGGGTCGGGGGTGGTGCTGATGAGGACCCGGACCCCAGGCCCGGGATGCCAATGCAGCGAGTTCTGTCGAAGCCCCACCCCCGCGCCCCTTCTCCTGGCTCGAGGCGAGTTCGGATACCCGTCCGGCCGCTTCGTGCCCTTCCTGCGGTCAGAGCTTGAGAGCTTCACGGTCCTGCTCCGCTCGGGGAACGTCTTCGCCTCCTCTGCCTCAGAGGTCGCCTGCAACGTGGGGGCTCCGGCTTGCACCCTCACTGACCACGTGGTGGGGGCGGGGCCTGAGCGGGTTGGAGGGGGCGGGGCCTTGGGGACGGACAGGGAGGGCCTGCGTGACAGTCGGGGCGAGGCCGGAGCAGGCGCGGGCCTGAGGGGAGTGACAGAATGGGCAGGGCCTCGGGGAGGATCTAGGGAAAGTGAGCTGTGCCCTGCGGGGGCGGGGCTTGCTGACAGGGTGGGGGCTCGGCTGGGGCTTGCTGTGGCGAGCAGGCTGACAGTAAGGGCGGGGCTCGGGAGTGGGCGGCACCACAGAATGACTGAAAGAGCAAGGCTAGAGCCAGGAAGAGGGTTTAACGAGTCTTGCGAAGGCAGTGCGGGAAGGAGTAACTGGGCAAGGGGCGGGCCGCGGGCTGAGCGATTGAGGAGGAGCCTCAGGGTACGGGCGGGGCCGGCGGGCGGGCTCAGCTAGGCGAGCTGGGCGAGGCCAGGGATAACTGACGGGACTGGGGTAGGGCTGGAGATGGTGGAACGCTAGACTACTACGTAGAGTCCAGAGGTGCGGGCACAATGACTGTGCAAGGGGCCAGGGAAAGATGACTGGCAGCTCGAGGACGGGAAAGGAGGGAGGAGACGAGGGGCGGAGGGGAGGGGAGGGGGGGGGGGGGGGGGGCCTAGAAAAACGGGGCGCCGGGGGGGGGGGGGGGGGCCAAGAGGCCATGAGTGACAGCCAGAGGGGTCGGCCTCAAACGTCTCCCCTGCAACTCTGCGAGGAATTCCTCTTCCGGCTGAACAACGCGGGCTTCGCTCACTTCGTGCCCCAGGTGTGGTGGTGCAGAGATAAGAGACCTGCAGGAAGGAGGTTTCCATCTTCCAGGCCACCACCGGTCCCGTCCCGTCCCAATGAAATCCATCCGAGGGCGTCCATCTGCTCCTGATCGCGCCACGGGATCGTTCCTAGGGCCGGGAAACGCGCCACTAGCGACCGCTCCCGTGGTAGCCCTGGTTCGGCGTCGGTTCTGAGCCGGCCCTCCGGTCTACAGTTGCAGAAGCGCTTTCTGGACTGGTCCCTGCTGGATCTGCGGGTCTTCGCACGACGTCCTCCGAGCCTGCGCTGCCGCCCGGGCACCTTCATGCTGGCGCTGCCCGTCGCCTGAAGGCCGCAGTGTCCTGGAATCACAGTGTCCCTGCTGGGAGTCAGCTTTCCAGCTGGTGGGCGGGATCGGGCTCTGCTCTGTCCTGACCACGCCCCCTCTGTTTACCGGCCCCCCCACCCCCCCGCCCAACTGGCCCCATCCACTTAGTGCCTCGGTTGCCCTGGTCTTCCCTGGCCCACTCTTACACGCAGTCCCCGCCCCTAAGGATAAGCCCCGCCTACTCCTACCTTCCGGTCTCCGACTACCCTATATCTCCTCCCCAGTCCCTGCACTTCTTGGCTTCGCCCCCTCCTATCCCAGGCCTCCTCCCCATGTTCAAATGACTCCAGGGGCTCCCCAGGGGCTGGGGATACGGGTCCGCAACGCTTTGTCCGACACCTCTTCCTACTTTCGGCTTTGTGTCCTCCATGAGGCCTAGCTCTTCCTCAGTATCTCCTCTGGGCTGGGAGGCCAGAGGTGGGTCCTGCACGAAGCCTGAATGGGAGGGAAAGGGGTCGTACCAGCAGGATGCTGAGATTGTGGCTCAGGTCTTTGTGTCTGAGCAGAAACTCAGGGCCTCCCTGAATCTGATCAAGTGAGAGAGAGCTGCTCCTTTCTGTATGGGTTCCTGCTGGGGGGTTGGAGCCGCAGGGCCGCCTGAAAGGGACAGATCCCTCTCACCTCCTATTCCTGCTGTTTCTGAAATCTCAGCCTGCATTCACATGTAGGGCCCCTTGCCGTGAGTGGTGTGTAATGCCTCATCTGGAGCCCACCTTGTGCCCACCAAGGTTCCCACGGAAGACTCCTACTCCTCGGCCCCAGGACACCTGAGTGACCTGCTTTATGAGAGAGTCTGACTATTTCCAGGTTCCAGACCTCAAGACGCTGCTGGGCATCGCCCTCTACGCAGTGGTGCTGCCCTATATCAACCTTGAGCCGCCGGGGAGCCTGCCATCACCCCATCACCCTCAGCCCTGGGGCCGGCTTCCCAAACAGATGTTCCTTGTCACAGCACTGCTCCACATCTGGAGCCTGGCATTCCCACAGAGATGGGGGTGGGAGACGGTAGAGAAGAACAGAGGGTCAAGTTCTCCAGGGTCAAGTTCTCCCTTGGGAGGCCCTTGTAATGGATGGGGAAACTGAGGCCCAGAAATGGAGCCACTTAGTCACGAGTGTGGCAGCAGTAAAGCCTACACATTTGCCTTCACCCCAATGCAGCCAGCACCCACCTGCCCCTGGAAAGATCTGACAAGACTCAAGGTGTGTCCTCCCCAGGTTGCCTGAAGGAGGGCCTTACCTCATCTTCTGTCCTTAGGGCTAATCTTCAGGACACCCTGGACAGCATCCAAGAGGTAAGGTGGTCCTCTTTGGGTTTTCTCAAATCTGGAATTCCCTTGATCATGGGGAAGGGGGAGGAGCAGCCCCCAGGAGTAAGCATGGCCAGTCCTGGGAGCTGGGGTCTCTTGACATCCAGCAGACTCCCACACTGCCTTCTCACCTCCCAGAATGGAGGTGACATGCATCCTGCCCACTCTACGGTCTCTCTAGCACCTCCCCCTGAGTCCCTGCTCTTTAAGACTCATCTGCTTCCAGGGCACTAAGCCCCTTCCTCCAGGCACTGGCTCGAGCAGGTCTCTATGGCTTCAATGGGCTACAGGAACCCTGATGGGTGGGTGGGTGCTCGTCACACCTCAGGGGACCAGAGCTTGCAGACCTAGAAAGTTCTGGCCCCAGGCCACGAAAGAATTCACAGCCTTCACCCATCAGTCCAGAATCAGTATTCTAACAATTCCAAGCCATATTTACTGGACGCATGTTCTGCTCCGTTTAACCACATCACTACCCTACTTACCTTTTTTGGCTTCCCAGCTTTAAAATAAAATCCAAGATCCACTCCGTGGCTTATGAGGCCCTGCTTGGTACTCCAGCCTCTCTCCAGCTTTCTCCTTTGCCCATTACACTCTGGCCAAGATGGCCTCTCTCTGTTCTGTGAACACACCTGTGTTTTTCTGCCTCTGGGCCTTTGCACAGGCCTCTCTCTGCTTGAAACTGGATTGTAAGCCCTAAAATGGCAGGGACCATGTTTGATTTTGTTTGTCTCTAAATCCCCAAGCATTTAACCTGTTAAACAGTAGACAATAATGCCAGCTGTAATAGGTCTTAATAAATAGTTCTTGAATAAATGTGCCTGTTGCACATTTTTCTATTGACATATTTAATCTTTACAACGATCATGTAAGGTAAGAGATATCATTAGCTCTCTTTTTCAGAAAACAGGAACTCAGTGAGGTTAGGCCATTTGTTGAAGGTCACACAGCTAAGATTTGAACCCAGGGGGAGGCTTTTTTCACCTGTCATTGAGTATGAGGGCATTCGTGCCAGGTGGTACAGCACAGGCCAGCTCCCAGATTCTAGATGCTTGTAGCTTCCTGGAGCAGGAAGGCATGGGGTCTGGGCTGGAAAGTTGCCAAGACTTGGGTCCTCAAAAGCCCTAAGGGGGCATTGCAGGTGGAAGAAACAGCGGTGAGCAAAGGTGTGAAGGCAGGAAGATCCAGCTCCTGGGACAACCGGACTCACAGGGCTGGGCCAGCCCAGGACACACAGCCAGCTGGTCCCAGGGCTGCGTCAGCTGGTGGCCTCCAGAGGCAGGACCCCGGTGGGCAGGGAAATTGAGGCGGGGAGTCATTGCGCAGCCCGGGAGACCCCAGGGACGCGGGCTGGGCTCTCCCAGGCAGGACGTTCCCACGCGGGGGCGGTCCTGGGAAAGGCTGTGGGGCGGGCCCGGAGGCGGGCGCCAGCGCTCCGGTCCCTCTGCAGCCTGTTCTCCGTTACTTGCTCCGCAGACCCGGGTCGCGTTCTGGCTTCCGCTGAGCCGCACGGTAAGTGAGTGGGTGGGAAGAGCCCCGGCTGCCCAAATCCGGGCCGGTGGGAGACGCGGCTGGGACTCCGGCTTTTACCACCCGTGGGGGCGCTGCTATAGAGGAGCATGGCGGGTGGGGCGGGCGGGCAGCTACTGGCAGCTCCGAGTTGAGGGGAACTTTCCTCCGTCCGCATATGGGGAGCCATCTCTTTCCTCAAATGTAGATTACTCCTTCCCTCCCCATAGGTGGGGCTCTCAACCACTTATCACTGATGGGGAGCCCTTCCTTTCCAGATGTGCAGCCCCTTCCCACTTTCCATATATGGTACACCCCTCCCTCTCTCTAATGATTGGGTGCCTCTCTTTCCCTAGATGTGGGGCCTCTTTCAATTTCCAGAAGTGGGATACCCCCTTCTTCTCCCCAGATGTGTGCCTCTCTTCCTCCCTCTGTCCCAGTTTGGTCCGTGTCCTCCTCTAAGTCCCCTCCTCGCCCTCCTGGGATGCCAGACCCTGAGATTTCCCTGGGGATGGAGGGTTGGGCTCGCCTGTCTCCCTCTCCCACCAGGTCCAGCAGAGCAGGCTCTCCAGGCACGTAGGCAGCCAATTATGGGGGAAGGGGTGGGGGCCAAACCATCTGCAGGAGACCTTGGCAGATGGCCCTGTAGCGAGGAGAGTTATCCCAGGACCTGCTCCCTCCCTACCTGGACTCCCACCCTGTTTCCTCTAGAGGACAAACAGCTGAGAGAGGTTTCCCAACCTAGCCACCATGAGCTGGGGCTGGAACCGGAACCCAGGCTCCCAGACCCAAACTGTTCAGGTCCTGCCTTAAGAGTTAGGCCTCCTCCCACTTCTCAGATGGTAAACTGAGGTCCCAGGAGGGGGCTTCAAATGTCTAGGATGCCCATCAACCCCCATAGGGATATCATACAGAATTAGAAGGGGCAGGCGGTGACCTTGGAATCCTGGGGACCAGTCCCCCAGCCACAACACCTGTGAAAAAGCTGTTCCTCTGGATCCTAAGGGGAAGGGCAGAGGGCAGAGGGCAGGACTCACCCACACACCCCTGCCCAGATGTCCTTTAGAGCTGCCTGGAGCTTGGTGCTGAGGAAAGGAGGACTTGGAATGCGAGGGATCCACAGCCCGGGAGGCACTGGTAAGACCCGGACACCCACCCCGCCCTGACCCTTGCCTAACTGCAAGGCCAGGGGCAAGGGTCCTGTCTGCAGGCTGTCCCTGGTCCCTTTCATGCTGCCCTGGGCCTGCCCCAAACCATTTCCCATGATCCTACCCCTTGGTCCGGGGCCACATTCTTCCAGGAAATAGAGACAGCCGTCCCCTCCTCCCAAGCTTTCTCAGGATCTGACCCCCATATCTCAGGCCCCTAAGACCTTTGTGTCCTGAGGCTGAGGGTGCTGACAGAACTTTGGACCGTCTTTCCAGACCCTTGCGTCCATGCTAGTCAGAAGAAAGAGGCCTAAAGTAGGAGAGACTTCAGCCAGATAGAAGGGCCTTCCTGACCCTCTGGAGAATAAAAACAGATAACATTTATTGAGCCCTTACTATGCACCCTGAGCCGTGATAAACTTTTTGCAGAGATGAACACATTTAGACTTCACGGCAAACACATGAAGTGGATACTATGCTGTTATCTCCATTTCTCAGGTAAACACACAGGCCCAGAGCCAGGACTCTTTGCCCAAAGCAGTTCCCATGCTATTTGGGCAAGGTGGTACCAATGCCCGCCTTGAGGGCATCTCTGGTGACAATAAACAGAAGCTTTACTGAGACCCTTCGAGCGCCCAGCCTTGTTCTGGACACTCACATGGAGCCCTTGAGGGCTTAGCCATCAGGGAAAGCTTCCAAGAATGGAAGCCAGAGGTGAAGCCAGCCGCTGTCTATCAGTGGAATTCGTGGAACACCTACTGTGTGCCAGGCGCTGTGCTAAGCCTTTCGAGTGCATCATCTTGAAGCTTCCACAACAGTGTGGAGTTGGATCTTTTACTCTCCCCACTTTCCGGATGAGGACGTTGAACACAGTGAGGTAAAGGGGCTCGTCAGAGCTGGGCCGGGGTGGAACTGGGGTTCCACAACTCCAAAGCTGTGCCCCTGACCACTCATTAAAAGCATAGGGATATAGTGAGAGGCCCGCGCACCGCGATGAAGAGTGGCCCCCGCTTGCCACAACTAGAGAAAGCCCTCGCACAGAAACGAAGACCCAACGCAGCAAAAATTAATTAATTAATTAATAAACTCCTACCCCCAACATCTTCTAAAAAAAAAAAAAACAAGCATAGGGATAATGCTTTACAGTTTGTGGGGCAGTTTCCCATCTGCCATCTCAGGTTCATCACAATGAACCTTTCCCTACCCATTGCCTTTGCCTGATGTGCCCTCCTCACCCCAGATCTTCCCAGAGGACACAGGATTTGAAGCCACAGGGGCTGAATTGCAGCCCTGGCCCGGCTCCCTTTTGCTCTGTGAATTTCGGCAAGTCCCTTAGCTACTCAGTTTCTTCCTCTGTAAGATGAAGAGAACAATATCACTGTCTCAGAGTGATGCCGAGCCAATGAGTCAACTCGCCCGAAGGCCTTAGCATGGCTCCTGGCACACAGTAAGTGCTCAGTAAGTGCCACCCACTTTCTAATACTGCGGTTAGTGCCAGGACGTCCCAGGGGCAGCCTGAACTCAGTTCCTCCCTGTGCCCGCAGCCCACGGCAAGGAGAAGATGCCCCCCTACACCAACTACCATGCCCAGCGCTCCTACCCCATGCCCGATGAGCCCTTCTGCACGGAGCTCAACGCAGAGCAGCAGGCCCTGAAGGAGAAGGAGAAGGGCAGCTGGACGCAGCTGAGCCACGCTGAGAAGGTGGCCCGTAGGTCTCAGGGTGGGGCTGGGGGCGACTTTGCAAAGAAGGGCCTGGCCTATCACGGAGCAGTGGGCAGGGAAAGCCCCCAGCCAAGACAGCCAGAACCACCCAAAGACTCGAATGCACACCTGAGGGGTGAAATTCATTCCTTTGTTCATTCCTTTTTTTATTCATTGAACTGTTTGTGCACAGCCTGGTGCTAGGCGATGCTGGGGACACAGAAGTGAATCCCCCTGAGGGTTCCTGCCCTCAGGGTGCTCCCAGTCCAGTGGGGGAACCAACGCAAGCCCAGATAGCTGTAATACGGGATATGCGGCTGGGTGAGGTGTGTTCAGGGGGCTGTGGGAACCCAAGGGAGAGAGAAAGATGGAATCCTGGTGGGCCTTCCAGAGGAGCGTTGTTCCAGTCGGCTTTGGATGCTGAAGAGGAGGGGCTGCCAGGTAGTAGGAACAGCATGGGGAAGGATATAAGAGCTGGAGAGCATGGAGGGTCCTGGGCATCGCTGAGTGGTGTGGGGAGATGGAGCAGAAAGAGGCAGGTGAGGTGGGTGGGAGAGCAGGGGCCTGACCCTGGGAAGCAGGAGGGATGTGTGACCCCAAGTGCTGCCCACCAGAAGTGCCCCTGGGAGCCAGCTTTGCCATCAGCTCCTGGCCATGCTTTGCACATGCTAGATGCTCAATAAGAATTTGCTGAATGGACAGCATCTGCTGCAGGGAGGGGGAGGCTGGAGGTCCCTGAGGCCAAGAGTTGGCCCAGGGCCCTTGGAATGGATGCACCTGAGGCCCCTCCTCCCCCACCCCTCACCTGCCTCCAGTGTACCGGCTCCAGTTCCACGAGACCTTCACAGAGATGAACCGTCGCTCCAACGAGTGGAAGACAGTGATGGGCTGTGTCTTCTTCTTCTTTGGCTTCACAGGTCTGCTGATTTGGTGGCAGCGGGTCTATGGTGAGTGGCAGTGTCTCAGCTGGCCGCAGCCCTCGGCCATGCCCTTGTGGCCACAGCCACCAGCCAAGCTTTGATAAGGGAATTATGCTGGCACTCATCTGAAGAGTTTTGAAAAGTCCCCCAAAGAGGTGTATGGGGAAGGGCAGAGCACGGCTGCCTGGGTTGCAATGTAGGGACCCTACCTCTCTGGGCCTCAATTCTCTCATCTGTAAAATGGGAATAATAGTGCCCACATCTCAGGGTTCTTGTGAGGATTTAATTATAAAACTGTTGCCTAGTGCCTGGCACATAGTTATGAACGATGTTGTTACTGATTGCTGTCATTAACCGTGAACTTTTCAGTATATTGTTTTGGCTGCTGTAACAGAGTCTCCAATGTACAAGAGCTTAAACAAGATAGAAGTTTTGTTCCTCTCTCACAAAAAAGGCCAGGGGGAGTATGGGGATTCCACAATATCAGACTCCTTTTGTCTTGTTGCTCGGCCATCCTTAACATGCAGCTTCCTTCTTGACATACAAAATGGCTGCTCCAGCTCCAGCCATAAAGCCTACATTCTAGCCAAGAAGAGGGAAAGGGAGGACACGCTCTCTCTAAGGTCCAGAATTTGCACCACCACTTCTGCTCACATCCTGTTGGCTAGAAGTGATCATATGACCATGCGTAGCCACAAGGGAAGCTGGGAAATATAGTCTTTAGCTGAGTGATCATGTACCCAACTGACCATGTTATTACTACATTTGTTACTACAGAAGAGTGATTTATTACTACAGAAGAGTGATTCTCAAAGTGGGGTGTCTGGACCAACAGCTTCACTTGGGAACTTGTTAGAAATGCAAATTCTCAGCCCCACTCTGGATCTACTGAGTCAGACACTCTGAGGCTGGAGCCCAGCAATCTATGTTTTAATATCCCTCTGGGTGATTCTGATGTGCACTCAGGTTTGAGAAGCACTGCTCTGGAAGTAGAGGGGAGCATGTTGGGGATGAGGTGGCAGTCTCTGCCTCAATTGACTTCACCTCCAGAGGCCTCACTTTGTTTCTTCTTCTGTAAAAGTGTGATGGGAATTCCTACCTTGCAGGAGGGTGAAATGAGAGAACCTTTGGGAAAAATTCTATTCTAGTCCAATGTTTGGTACTAATAGGTGCCCATAAAGATCTTTCCCTTCTTTCACACCCACTGGAATAGAAAGTACCAGAGACAAAGGTCAGGCAGGTTAAGCTGGCCTCAGGGGCAGATGGACCAGGAAGTAGGATGTGAGCAGGGCTGGGAGCTCTGTCCCCCAGGCCTTTCTAGGTCCACACATCAAGGCACCTAAAATGCCTCCGTGAGTTCACCCTTTGGGTCCCCATAGCTTTAAAGTGAACACCCCTATCCTACCTCCCACTCCCAACCCCTTCAGGAAGCATGAGAAACTGTCTCATCCTGGACCCTTCCCAATAAGTGGGAGCAAACTCAGTAATTATAGTAGCTATCATGTATTAGGGGTTTTCATATCTTCCCTCATTCTGCCAATTGCATTATAAATACTAACACATTCAATCCCCACAACCCTGGTGGACAGGACCTGTTTTTGACAGGTAAGGAAATTGGGGGTCAGAGATGAAGTGACTTGTTCAAGGTCACACAGCAAGGTAGTGGTAGAGCTGGGATTTGGACCCAGAAAGACTTCAAACCAGTGCTCCTCTTACCCTTGGGTCACAGAGTAGGTGAGGAAACTGAGGCTCAGAAAGGGGAAGGACCTTGGCCCAGTTCCCACACCAAGTCTAAGGCAGAGCAGGGATCATGACTCAGAGGTCCCCAGAGTGCAGCTTTAGTGGGGAGTCTGGTGGCGGATGGACAGGGGTGGCGAGGGGTCCTCATGCAGGGCACCCTGACCTTGTGCCTGGAGACCCTGGCTCAGCGGGAGGGGGTGGGCCTGACAGGGTCCCGCATGCCCCTGTCCCTACCCGGTTCCTTCCCTGCAGTGTTCCCTAAGAAACCCATCACCCTGATGGATGAGTGGAAGGCCCAGCAGCTCCAGCGCATCCTGGACATGAAGGGCAACCCCGTGCAAGGCCTGGCCTCCCGGTGGGACTATGAAAGGAAGGAGTGGAAGAAGTGACGTGGCATTCCAGCTGCTCGCGCTGCAGCTCTGCCCTGGCCCGGAGCCTATGGAGGCCCCTCCCCACCACTTAACCCCAATAAAGCTGGCCTGCTCTCATCTGCCTTTAGTCTCCACCGCAGTCTCTACCTGCCATAAAGCCTACATTATACCTAAAATTGGGCAGGACAGTAGGTGGGAGGCAATAAGCCACTTTCCAGGGCCCCACTTATCAGGGAGGGCTTCCTGGAGGAGTAGAGGTTGGGGTTGAGCCTTAAATGATAGGTGGGATTAGGAAAGGCAGAATACTTACTGAGTATCTGCTGTGTGCCAGGTACTAATCTAGGCCCTGGGGATGCAGCAGTGAATGAGACACACAAAGTGTCTGGCCTCATGGAGGAGGTGTTTCTTTATGTGTGTGTGTGTGTGTGTAGGGGGGGGAGACAGAAAAAGGAATAAGTAAGTATAATATACAGTATGTTACCCAGTAATCAGTGCTATGAGGGAATAAAACAGCAGGATAAAGGGACAGAGCTAAAAGGGGTTTGGGGGTTGTAGGTGAAGCCTCTTAGAAGAGGTGGCATATGACAAGACAAAACAGCAAGTGCAAAGATCCTGAGGCAGGATTTTAGTTTGTGGAATGTGGAACATCAAGGAGGCCACAGTGACTGGAGTAGAATGACTTGGAGAATAGTAGGAAGGTGTGTGTTGTGGGAGAGGGTTGGTCTTGGGGCAGAAAGCAGATTATATAGGAATACACACACATATACCCCAGAACCAAGAAGAGAAGCCTCCTTTCCTCTTGGTATGTCTCCTCCAGCACCCTCTACTGGAGAAGTTTAGCATCTCACTGTAAAGGGGGTGGTGCCCAGAGTCCTGCTCATTATCTTAGAGCAGGCACTGAGGGGTGAATTTGGGGTAGAGGGGCAATACATTGATAACTGGCACAGCATCTTTGAGAAAGTCTTGGCCAGGCCAATGGGGAGCCTTAGAGCAGAAAAAGCCCATTAGATGAGTCCTGTGTTGGGCAAAATTGACCCATCCCTAGAGTCCCACTGTGCTCAGTCCTTTGTAGTCCTTGGTTTCCTAGGGGGGCTGTGGCCTTGGCATGAACACTGCAGCAGCTCTGAAAGTGCAGCAGCTGGAGGTGGTCATACACCTATCCTCTTCATAGCAGGTCCTCTTGAAGAGACATCTGAGCGGCACACCTCCAAGGACACCCTGGATGCCAATGGAGGGATTCAGCAGGGCAATTGGGACAATATTCATTCAATCAACAAATATTTATTGTGCATCCACTATGTACCAGACTCTGGGGACAGAGTGAATGAGACCTCATTCCAGTGTCGTGATTTCCAGTCCTCATGAATCTGAAAGTCTGTAATGGTCACCCAAATAAATTATAGAACAGATGAGTGCTAAGAAGGGGAGGTACATGGTACTTGGACTGACCTAATCTAGAGAAGTCAGGGTGGGCTTCCCTGAAGAAGTGTCTTCATATTTGAGATATTGTTGCCGAAATTCATCCTCTGTACACTGGTGCCAGATTAAACCTCAGAGACAGAATTTTGAGTGAAGTAGAAAGAAATAGCTCTATTGCTTTGCCAGGCAAAGGGGGCCCCAGTGGGCTAACGCCCTCAAGATTGTGTGTCCTGTCCTGGAGGGGGTAGTGAGGAGTCTTATAGTATTCAAGGAGCAGGGTGTGATCAGCTCATGGACATTGTTCTGACTGGTTGGTGGGGAGGTAATCAGGAGTCAGCATCATCAGCCGCCTTGTTCCAAGTGGACTGGTGTCTACATGCTTGCGGGCAGCCTACAGTTAACTTCTCCCACCTGGTGGGGGTTTCAGTATCTGCAAAACAGCTCAAAGGACATGGCTCAGAATGTTATCTATAGTCCTCGAGGAAGAACTAAAGGTCCTTGACTTTGTTTAATGGCTAAAGTATTATTATTTTGTCTTGCTTGACTGTTTTCCTTTCTTTCTGCATTTTCTCACTTCTCTGATTAACTTTATTCTTTAAAACTTTGACTAAAGTTTCTCTACAGACAAAAAGCAGGTGGAGGACATGGGTGGGGATCTATTCAGGGAAGGCCTCATAGGGTCCTGCTTGGTTACAATATGAAGGATGACTGGATGTAAACTAGATGAAAGGGTTGGTAGAACAGCATTTTAGGCAAAGAAAAGCATGTGCAAAGGCCCTGTGGTAGTGAGGACCATGGCATGAAAGAGGAAATAAAGGAAGCCAGTGGGTTGTCACAGGATAAGGAAGAGATGAACAAGGGGAGACAGGGAAGTGGGAGACTCATCCAGGGCCTTGGAGTCTCTGCTGCCTCTATTGAAGACACAAGTCTGGGGAAAAGCAGGGAAAGATGGAGCTGAGGGAGTATGTGGGGGCCAGAGGATGGGAATCCTTGAACAACCATTTAATTTTTATTTGAGAAAGACAGCTCCCTTGGTGCAAGTTTCTGTCTGGCCTGAGGGATCCATTTCACTGCCTTAGCATGAAAGATGCTGGGGATGCAGACATGGAGCAGAAAGGAGCCCTGGCATTCGGGTCTCCTGGCCTGCGGGCAGGACTGGCATGAACATGGCCAGTGGGAGGCTAAGGGGGATAAGAGCTATAGAAATGTTTGATAGTATGTTTTGACCCCATTATTTTGACCCAGGCCCTGATGCTTTGCTAGCAGCAGGAGCAGTTTTGACATAACTGAAGATGTTGAACTATGCAGGTGATAAACTTTGTTTAGATTAATAACTTGCTGAGGAATTATGTTGTGGGTAATAAAGAAAATTGTCAAAATTGGCCTGGGGAAAATTTGATGTCATACTAGTCATTTTTTCGCCTGCAATAATGCTGTGTAACAAACAACACCAAAACTTGATCGCTTATAACTTTGAGCATTTATTTCTATCTTTCATGGGCTGGTGGGTTGGCTGAGGCTCTGCTGGGATCCGCCAGGTTTAGTTCCAGGCTCTGGGTTGGTGTTTTGGTTTCCTAGGGCAGCCATAACAAAATACCACAGACTGGGTGGCTTAAACAACAGAAATGTATTTTCTCACAGTTCTGGAGGTTAGAAGTCCAAGATTGAAGTGTTGGTAGGATTGGTTTCTTCTGATGCCTCACTCCTTGGCTTGCAGATGGCCTCCTTCTCACTGTGTCCTCATGTGGTCACTCCTCTCTGTTTGTATCTCTGGTGTCTCCATGTGTGTCCAGATTTCCTCTTCTTATAAGGACACCAGGCAGATCAGGTTAGGGCCTTCCCTGATGACCTCATTTAAGTTTATCACCTTTTTAAAGGCCCTATCTCCAAGTGCTTTCACATTCTGAGGTATTAGGGGTTAGGACTTCAACATAGGAATTTGCAGGAGACACAATTCAGCCCGTAACAGTTGGGTTCAGGGTTATTCATGTATCTCCTTTTACTGGGACCAGCAGGCACATGTTTTTGTCATGACAGAAGTCAGAGACTCCTGAGGGGACAGAGAGACAGTGGGGACCCACGATGCTCTGAAAGCCCAGACTCAGAACCACACACAGAACCAGCACCGCATTCCACCAGTCAAAGCAAGTCCTGTGGTGCTCTGGTTACAACTGCTACATTACAACCCCCCTTAAAACTTAAAGGCATGAAACAGCCATTTCCTTATGCTCACTGATTCTGTAGTTCAGGAATTTAGGCAGGGCACACTGGGAACTGCTTGCCTCTGCTCTAGACTGTCTGTGCCGCCAGCTGGAAACATTCAAGGCTGTGGCCAGAATCTTCTGGAGGTGTTTTCACTTACACATCTGGTGGTTAACATTGGCTGTCAGCTGGGACCTCAGTTGGAGCCGTCAACCAGAACAACTCTTTGTGGCATTCCCCAGGTGTTCTCTCTGTGTGGGCTAGTTTGGGCTCCCTCAAAGCATGGTGGGTGGGTTCCAAGAGAGCAAGGGGGAAGTGTATTGTATTTGTATGATCTAGCCGCAGAAGACACATCACTTCTGAACCCTGTTGCTCAAGGCTCTCACAGAGATCCACTCAGGTTCAAGAGGGAGAGGACAGAGACCTCCCCTACTTGATGGGAAGACATCAAGGTCAATGTAAGATGTGAGATGAATGAAACAACAAGGTCCTACTGTACAGCACAGGGAACTATATTCAATATCCTGTGATAAACCAGAATGAAAAGAACATGAAAAAGAATATATATATATATATATAACTGAGTCACTTTGCTGTACAGCAGAAATTAACACCACGTTGTAAGTCAATTATACTTCAATAAAATTTTTTTAAAAATGTTGAGAGATGAATGTGAGATGGGAAATACATTGTGGTCATCTTTGGAAAATATAGACTGCCAACACAATCAAGTTCAACATCAATGAGTAGAGAAATGTCCTCCAGTAGAGGGTATGTGGAGAGTGTGAGGAGGGAAGGCAGAACTGTGAGCAAATAATACAAACTGGGCTTCCCTGGTGGCGCAGTGGTTGAGAGTCTGCCTGCTGATGCAGGGGACACGGGTTCGTGCCCTGGTCCGGGAAGATCCCACATGCCGCGGAGCAGCTGGGCCCGTGAGCCACGGCCGCTGAGCCTGCGCGTCCGGAGCCTGTGCTCCACAACGGGAGAAGCCACAACAGTGAGAGGCCCGTGTACCGCCAAAAAAATAATAATAATACAAACTACCACAGATGTATAGAAATAACCGACACAAAATCAAGTTGACAGAAACGAAAACTGACATGTTAAATTAGATATTGACTAAAATTCAAACAGGGAGTAAAATTTTGACATTTAGGTAATCAAATGTGACCTGAAAAAATTGGACCAATTAAAAATAATGGACATAGTAGACAACGCACAATGGCAGGAAACTGGTGAAATCAGATATAGACTAAAAATGACTGAGAGAAGAATTAAATCTTCATGGTGGCATTTACCCCATGAGACTAAGTGATTTTCATGAAAAAATAATTTCGTAAAATTAAATTTAAAGTGGGAAACATTAGAAAGAATTTAATTTTGGTCATAAAATAACTGATGGAGGGATTAAATTTGTTTCATTCAGCTTGCCCAAGAAAACTCTTTCTTGATGTATTGGATTAGTGTAATTCTGATAAAAATAATTGAATTCAAAACTCATAGTCAAAATAGTCTTGGGGTAAACACATACACGAGGTCAAAACATTTGGGTCAAATTATCCTGTAATATTGAAATTTTCTGTAAAAAATGAGAAAGAAACTCAGGAGACAAATGAGGAACTAAAAAGTATTTACCTGTATGACAGATAAAGGGCTGATTTCCTTTAAAAAAAGATTTTTTTAAACCCATCTAACAAATCAGTAAGAAAAAAACAAGAATGCAGTAGAAAGTAAACAAAAGTCATGACCAGGGAGATTACAGAAAAAGAATAGAAATGCCCTAAACAGTTCTTAAGGAAAAGTTCAAACATACAAAAAGGATAGTTTAATAAACCTCCATGTGTCTCCCGGGAGTCCACAATTATCTGCACATGGTCCTCATTTTCCCACCCTTGCCCCTGAATTATTTTAATAAATCCCAGGCATTATATCATTTCAGTCATAAATATTTCAGTATGTCATTAAGGACTGTTTTAATATACATAACCAAAATACTATGACTAGACATAAAAAATCCTAATATTTCCTTAATATCAAATATCCATTCAGTATGCAGATTTCCCTGATTGTCTCAAACATTTTTATTTATTTGAATTTTCTTGGAATGAGGATCAACCTTAAATCTAGATTGCAGGTGGTCATCTGAATCTTTGTCTGGTTTTGGTATCAGGGTAATTTCCTTCCCTCTATTTTCTGGAAAATATTATCTAGAGATAGTGTTACTTTTTCTTTAACCATTTGGTAGAATTCTCCAGTGAAATCATTTGGGCCTGGAGATTTGGGGGTGGGGTAGGGTAATTTTTATATTGCACTGATTTTACTGCATCCCATAAGTTTTGGTGTGTTATGATTCATCTGTCTCTGAGTATTTTCTAATTTCCTTTGTGATTTCTTCTTTGACTAATTGGTTATTTAACAGTGTGTTGTTTAATTTCCACGTATTTGCATATTTTCCAATTTTCCTTCTGTTATGATTTCTAGTTTTATTTCACTGTGGTCAGAGAAGATGCATTTATATTATTTCAATCTTTTAAATTTATAGAGACTTGATTTGCGAACTAACATATAGTCTATCCTGGAGAAAATTTCATATGCACTAAAGAATGTGTATTCTGCTGTTGCTGGTAAAGCGTCCTATAGATGTTTGTTAAGTCTAATTGGTTTGTAGTTTGCTTAAGTCCTCTATTTCTTTTCTTTTTTTTTTTAATATTTATTTATTTGGCTGCGCCGGGTCTTAGTTGCAGCACGTGGGATCTTTGTTGCGACATGTGGGATCTTTTCAGTTGTGGCATGCAGGCTCTTAGTTGTGGCATGGTTCCCCGACCAGGGATTGAACCCGGGCCCCCTGCATTGGGAGTGCAGAGTGTTAACCACTGGACCACCAGGGAGGTTCCAAAGTCTTCTATTTCTTCTCATTTCCTTTTGTGTATATATTTAAGATATTTTCTTAATGGTTACAGTTAATTACCATTAACATCTTAAATTTATAACTACCTAGTTTGAACTGTTACTAGCTTAGCTTCAATAACATAAAAATTTCTCCTATATCACTCTGTACCTCTCCCTTTATATTTGTCAAAAATTGTATCTTTATACATTGTGTGCCCTGATAACATAGGTTTCTAATTTTTTATGCATTTGTGTTTTAAATCATGTAGGAAATAGAGTTACAAAACAAAAATACATTAATAATCCTTTTTTTTTTTTTTTTTTTGGCGGTACGCAGGCCTCTTACCGTTGTGGCCTCTCCCGTTGCAGAGCACAGGCTCCGGACGCGCAGGCCCAGCGGC